AGTTTGCTCTTTCTATCATCAGTAATTTTAATATGTTACAGTGCACACTTGTGTAATAAACAAGAAAAATATCAGGCTATTTTTGCTGTGCAGATGAGTAGAAATAAAATGCAAATACAGCAATACGTCTAAATGGGAGACAGTTTAAGCATGGAAAACCTGTGGCTGGAATGATTTTCTGAAAATGTCTTATACTCTGCTTCAGTTACAGAGAAAATTTACACTACGAGTTTAAGTTGTAGGAATTATTCATCAGATGTCTAAATTAATCAACATAGATGTTATTAAGCAACATTGATGATATAATTGCAGTCTTACTCAACATGCTATTTCACAGATAATGAACATATATTTATTACTATATATATAGCTTTAAAAACTGTAAATATATTTATCAAATTAATAGAAAATACGCTAAAAATTACTTATTTGCTTTTAAAACTAAATACGCAACTTTATAAATATGCTGTCATTGATTATGCTAGGTCTCAGACTGTATATATGACTGGATTGCAGAGCAGATGGTTTATCTCTGTTAGTGTGCTAGGTGCTAAGCAGAAACTTTAAAAAGTTTAAAAACCAAACGCCCAAAGTTAGTGTCATAAATCTCTTCAATATTACCTTTCTTCTACCATAGCCCCAGATTAATATGGTCATTTCAGTTTCCTTAGATATTTACAGGAAATAAGAAGCCACAGAAATGAGGAGCAAGAAGATTGCCATTCGATACTCCAGCATATTCTAGTAACACAAACTATTGAAAATATTAAAGAAAAGCAGTGCTATAACACAGAGAATACATTAGCACAGAACCAAGGGATGGCTTTAAGGTGAGGAGAATAAGGATTTCAGAACACAATAATGTAAGCTTTTTTTTTAGTCCTGTATCAATGTCTGCACAAGTTTTTAATACATTTGAAAAAAAGACATTGAATGCAGTATTAAAGTACTCCTGCACAGCAATCTGCATCTTCAACAACATTCTTTTGACATGAATTCACAGCAACAGCCAAGTGCCTAATTAGAGGATTTGCAGTGAGCTTTCTAAATTATATCTATATACTATTTGATCATTTGTAATAACTGAAATCCATGCACCTTTAAGAAAAGGAAAGTGAGAAACCAAGGTAAGTGAAAATAGGCTTAAAAGACAACTGACCTTTTTCCACTTCATTCAGATTAGCAGCTTGCAGTGACAAAGACAGAAGAGACAAGAGACTTTTTACATTGTAATACAACAGCATAGCACATTAAGCTAATGCACAACTATAGCAGCAGAGAGGTTGATATAGCAAACAAAGCAAGCTTCAAAGTCTCACCTCCAGCAGAACAAAACAAACAGAAGGGTAAGAAGTACATGCCACCAGTGGCGTAAGAGAGGTTTTACTTCCGGATCAGTTAGTTCTGTGATCTAATGACTGACGACAATGAGCAAGAGAAATGATTATCTGTAATCTTTAGAATGCACATAAAATGACCTGAAGTTTACCAGACTGCGGTTAAAATAAAGGAGATGGTAATGTTAAGAGAATAGCAAGATTAAAGAGTGCAGGACATAGTCGGGTATTTTAAATAATTTATTTCTCCACGTTTCATCAGAAATCCTGAATGTCTGTTGATTCCATTTGCTTACTGTTGTGTCACAGTTACAGTCTGTGATCTTAAGAAAGCTCATTTTATAGTGCAAATACCATTCTTTGTCTTTCCACCTGTAACTGTGGTGGCTGCTGTAAAACTTAACTGAGGCAAAGCAAAACAGATCCCTGATTCTTATGCAGCAACACAATAAGCTTTTTAATTGCTTGATTTAAATCAACACAATATAGTTGAGAAGTGTTGATTTTCAAGGGATTTTTAGAATCCCTTGAAAGTCAGAAATTGACCGTTAGGTTTTACAGTGCAACATTCTTTGCAGTTCATTTTGGATTCTAACAAGCCCTCCACATAAAAATAAGTCTTTATAGAAGAATGATTTACATTTCATACCAGCATGTTTCAGCTGAATTCTTCCTTATACTGTGCTGCTGAAATGTAAAGAATATTTGCGGACAGTCATTCACCCAGAAAAATATTCTGGGCTGGTGCAATTCCATGTTGAGTACATATATGCTATGACATGCTGAACAAAGACAATTCAGGGTATTGTCAACCAAATTAAAAGAGGACAGGAGAAGCCTACAGGAGCATTTTCCTAGTATATACACTGTGCCACTTTTGGCTCAGGGACTTTCTGAGCTAGAGATCAATACCTCTGAATTTAAAAATCTTTGTATATACTGAATATGAGTATATAGCCTGCTTTCCTGATTGTCAAGCTCCTTTTGGTCAGCTAGTACATGAATTCATTTAGTGAAAAATCCTTTCATAAAAAACAAATATTAGAAATATGCATATCTGATTTTAATCTGTTAGAACAGATACCAAAATCCAAATGTTTAAAGATTTCCTCATGAAAATCACTCTATACATACTTGACAGGGATTCTGTTATTTATCTTTCAACTCAGATTATAGGTCAGAGAAAAAGAGAAGTTCTACAAATTATTTGGTACCTCATACTCACTTGAGACAACTGCACAATTACTTTATATTCTGAGCATTACCCTTTTTAGACCCTGATGTGTCCAGACAGCTTTCAGGCTAATTCTTAATACTAAAAGTTCTTATGCAAGACTGTGGATGACAGATATGAGGACCCCATTGGCTAGCTCAATGTTTTACATTTTCACCTTGTAACTAATATCAAAAATCACTTAAGATCTCACATATTATGTTCTATTCTTAGATGCTTTGTATGACAGCTAGTATATTGTAGAATTCTGTACTTTACTGTGTAATAGAAAACCTAAATTTTTGCTCCACTTACTATAAAATTAGTTGAGGCTCTAGTGATGCATTTAAAAAAGCAACATTTAAAAAAAAAGTGTTGAAAAATGTCTGATGAGCTAGTGTGAATTCTCAACAGTTTTTAACTGGGAGACTAAACCTACTGATTAGAAACAGATTGTTTTGATTTCTTTAAGAGCTGGTGAGAAGACTCTCACCTACTCACGTCTTACTGACTTCAGTAGAGATTATAAGCAGACATTGTATCTGTAAAACTCACAGTATGATTACGGTACAATCATGCACAAGTATGAAACAAATTTAAAAATGCATTTCCTTGTATTTTGATTAAAGAAGCACAACTGCAATACAAACATAAAAAAAATTATCAATGTTTATTCTCTCCTTTTTTCTCTGTCCACAGAGATATATAGAGAAATGCTTCAATTATTTCAATTGTAAATTTAAAATTTTCTTTCACTTACAATACTCCAAAAATTGCAACAGACACACTTAATCGAAGTTTTAGGCTAGCACATATGGATGATCTTTTGTATCCGCTTTATGGATATTTAATAAAAAGCAGCCCTTCCCATGGCGTACTGTGAATCCAACAAGCTATTGACTCTAACAGTTAAAGGCAGGTAAAAACACCTGCAAGGCTGCATGGGAGGAATGCACTTGCAAGTGAACTATCTCCTGTGTAACAGGGATATGAAACCTCTTAGCATGAAGCCGCTGAAGAGCAACACTGGACTGATGTGACTTTGCTTTGCATTCTTCCAGCCTACAGGAGAGAACACCTGATCCCATTTTTAAAGGAGATCCCAGAACTGATCCCAGAGGAGCTGAACTTGACTTATATATACCTATAATATTAGTTGTAGAAGAACTGCTGTTTCTACTTCCTGAGCCGGTTACCTGTTATTTCCTTCCAAGGCTTGAATTTTCAATTGCACTTAGGTATTAAGGTATTGGTACTTGGCAAAACAGTATTTTCTCTTACGAGAAGATTATGTCTCTCCATCCACATATGGCTCATCCACGTATTGTTAAATAGCTTTTTGGCTTTTGTATTGCTTTAGATATTGTAGCTTATCCTGCATGGGGAAATCTCTACCAAACATTTACCCAGAATAAGTACTGGATGAATACCTCTATTAGATTATGAAGTTGTATTTCTTATACTTGTGTTTTAACATCTTCACTTGTTGTGCATTCCCAATATTTAAATACTGACTTTGAATTTGAATAACCTACAACAGGGGAGCAATGCAACACTCTGTAGAACTAGTGATGGAAACTCTTTGGATGAGAAAGGAGTTAGCTGGGTTTTCAGTAAATGAAATTAATTCAGGCATTCCCCTCTCCTTACAGTTTCCCAGAGCTCAACTATGCTTGATTAAAGTAAAAAATATAGGATGACTGAGTAGAATTAATTCTCAAATAATGATGGATCTTACATTTCTTTTTTATGCACTTCAAATCATAATGAATTTAAGCTCTATGTTCTTCTAGTGGTCAACTATTTGATAGAAAATAGATCTGTCTAGTTGGAAGAGCTATAAAAAATATCAGTGCAAACAACAGGTCCTACTTCCTCCGTGCTGCTGTTCCAAATATCCTCCATTCCCACAGAGACCATGACAGCAAGCAAGAGATGCTCTGTCACAAAGAGAAGGATATGCTTTGGCTTTGCTGCCAACTGACAGAAACAAAAGACTCTTGTATTTTTATTCTGTGTAGGAAGCATCACACTTGGTATTAATATTTCTAGCAAAGTACAGTACAGCATCCAGGGGTGCCAAATACAGTTCCCCAATGGCACAGACAAATTCTTCATAGTAAAATGAGGATTAGGATAAAAGCAGAATATTTTTCAGATTTCTACAGCTACAGAAGTCCTCCACTGGGGTGTTTAGGAAAACAGTAAGGAGGGGCACATTTTGAATGACCTTTAAAATATAAAAATGCTGTAAATTCAAAACTAAAAAAAGGAATTAATGAGTGGACATCAAATCTAATTTTGACTACAAACTATAAAGGAGAAAAATACGGAGAGACACCTGGTATTAAGTCAGTTGTACAGTAACTACTAATATACCTGCAAAGTGGAAAATATTACTGTTCTGCTAGGAATTCTTGAATTACCTGTGCTTTCTCATATATTCCTACCTGTATATTCAGGTGGACAAAGGCAAGTATAGTTATTAATGCCATCCACACAAGTAGAATTGTTTTCACAGTCATTGTCTTCACAGTCATCAACATTTACTTCACAGTTTTCACCTTCAAATCCATCTGCACAAGTGCACCTGTAATATAGAAAACCAAATAACCACATGGACATTTTAGGTGGGGAGTCCAGACAAGAAATTCTGTAGTTAATACAATTACATTAGAATTATAATATTCCACAACAGAACATGGTTGATATAATGTAAAATGTCCTTATATTAAATAATCCCAAAGTATATTTTGTATTTTAAATTACAGAAAATGCTTCTAAAGTCATATCTCAGTCTTCACTTTAAGGATCCTGCTAAATTAAATCACAGAGAATTCCTTTTGAAAAGCATTATTCCTTTACATTGTAAGATTATATTTCTTATGGAAAGTGATCTTTTTGGTTTTTTAAGGTTAAATATATGGAAAATATTGTGGAATCAGCGATCAGTAGTTTTCCACAATGATTCAGTTAAATGCACCAATATAAAACTCTCTTTAATGAACATGCATTCATATAAAAAAGCAAAAGCCTGCATAAATTATTTAAAGCAGTAATTTATGCTTTGCTTTTAATCATGTTTCTGCAAAACAAATACATCAAAATAGATAGTAAATGTAAAAGTCACTCAAACATGACTACACATACATTTTCATGTAATTTGCACTACCTATAATTTCTGAAGCTTTCACTATGATATTGCTTTGATTTTTAAAATACGTAGTGTTCAAACAAATAAATGAAAAAGGTCAAATTCTGAGGCGTGACTATGTCAATTTGAATTCTTGAGGCATATTATTAAGATGTATTCACTTAATTTTTAGTAGAAGGCTATTTAATCCTTGGGCAGAATTTGGATTAAAAGTAAGAATAATGTCATAATGAATTGAAGGATAATGAATTTTATCTTTTTGAAGTGTCATTTTTAACAAGCTTGAGGTGTAGATTATTAAATGACTAATAATCTCACATAAGAATGCTAAAGAACTTTATTTCATAATTCATGAAGTACATCTGGAGTAATTGTACTGTGTGATTAAATAACTCAAGATTAAAAATGCTCACAGCATGTTTATCTGCTGGCATAGTGAGTTTCAAATGAATCATTAATTTTCTGTTTCACTGGGACTTACATTTTATCGTTTACATGCTGTCTGTTGAAGTAATACACACAACAACAGATGAATTATGAGATTTTTTCAGCAGGGATCTAGCTAGCTATTAATTAACATAATGGAGTCAATACTATGCTGTCTTGACCTGATATGCCTCAACTAATCACAGTCATTAGTTATTGTTTTTAACAGATTCAAAGCTCTAGAAGCTTTCCAAGGATGGCAACATGTTCTGAAAACTTAAAAAGTGCTAAAAATCTGCCTTTGAGGGGCTCTTACCAGCAAACACAGAGAACTTAAAGATTAACACAAACATTAGTTTACCATAAAAATCTCAGTGGTTTTCCATCCTGTCACAATTAAAAAACCTACCAGAAACCATCTTTTTCTCCTTCTTTCAAATGACAAGTTCCACCATGGTGGCATGGGTTACTAATGCAAGCATGAATGGGAATATCACAGTCTTGACCCTACACAGGGAACAACAATTATAATGTAAGAAGAAAATACACAGTACAGAAGAAAATAGACAGTAGTGGAAGGGAGGCAAATAATAGTTAAAGGTTTTTAAGGATATTTCACTGACATTTCAGTGAGCTTTTTCCTCCTCATGCAGTACCTACCTTGAAACCATATGGACATGTACATCTGTAGAAGTCAACTGGATCATTATTGCAGGTTCCATCATTTTTACATGGATTTGATAAACACGGATTACATTTTGCAAGAATATTAATATCCACAGACCCTTAAAAATACAAATTGGATAGTCAGAAACAAGCAACTATTAATTTACATTGGACAGGAGCTATCTGACAGGTTGCTTTTAATTTTAAAATAGACTTTGAATTTTAGACTTTATGGTGTTTCTATATTTATGAGATGTGGAACTGTCCTTCATGCTTTTGATGTGAAAAAAAAAAAAAATGGAATTGTATTTTTGGTTTAAGCATCACTTTTTATTTTTGTTAAGAATCTCACCAAAGTGATTCCCATATTCCTATTCTCTGAAAGCTGTATAGTTCTGATTCATGATAATTACCTTTCCTTTGTATTAATAAAATGAAGAATACAATTTCAGCTTTTGTTTTGTTATGGAGTAGGAATTGCCTGTGAGAAAATGGGCTATCACAGTTTTCAATCCTTCCCATGATAGTGTTACTGAGAACACTTCTTTAAATGCATTTTTGCTTAAACATGTTTTTTATCTGCAGGATCACATAGATGGCAAAATGAAATGGTAAAATTACCTTTAAATTTCTTGATCTGGAAACTGTAATGTAAATTACATTGTCCAAGCTATCTCACCATAAATAGTTCTATACTGTCCTTCTTCCTTATGAAGTTCTGTGCATTACTGTATAAGTTGAGCCCACAAATCATGTAAGCTGTACCTTGAACCTATGTGCAAGTGAAGACTGCAATCCATGTTTGCAGTCTAGCTTCTTCTATTAATGATTATGATGAAAGAAATCAGAAATGTAAATTGATAAAATCCTAAGTTTCAGAACCCAGACTTGAGCTTTGACTTGCTTGCTTTGACAAGTCCCATGTTCTTTATATAGATAATTTTTATTTTTTTTTCTCTGTTGTTTCCCATTTTTATTCACCATTTTATGGTGAATTGTAAAGCGTTGTTTTTTGTTTTTTTTTTTTTTTTTTTTTTGTCAAACAACTAAAGAAATCACTGGTTACTTTATAAAAGTTAGAAAACACCTGTGTATGAATAATGATTAATTGGCATAAATTTTTGTGAAATTTGATTACTGTAAGGGAAAATGGGTGACTTTGTCAATTGTCTATTAAGACAATAATACATTCTCTATCACTGGCTCTAGGGCCTGATGACAATACTGCCTTCAGATTGATTTCAGATCTCCCCTGTTAAAAAAACCCCTTCATTTATCCACAAATGAACTGTACCTTTGAAGGAATGAACAGTGATTTCTTCTAAATTGAAAAAAATCCCAAACTGGGGCCTTCTAGAGCAAATGCCTGATTGTTCTGTAACAGGTTTTATACAAAATGAGCCAAACTGCAGAGTTTTCAAAGCTAAAAGGGCTTTGCTTAGATATAGGGCTTTATTCTATTTCTAAACTTAGATCACTTAACTTTCTTATTTTTCTTTGCAAATTCATCTCACACTAATTGTAAAGGAGCTGGTCTGGAAGGAAGCCATGTGACTGTAAGGATCCAGTGGGGAATGTCAGACAAAGAGTGGGTGACCTTTTAATTTTTTTGTTTTTTAATCAGTTGCTGGTATGCTTTTGTGTCACAGCTTGCAAGCAGAACACTGTAATATGTGATAAGGTGCTTATTGCCAAAGCCAAAATCTGTATGGACCAATATTTTTTTTTTTCTCTTCATCACAATATTTTGAAAGAGAAATCTGTATCTGGTCTATTAGATCAGCACACAAGAAAGGTAGAAAAGTTGAAGCCAACATCATAGAATCCACATCTAGAAAGTCCTGACTCTACCAGAGATTACTGCTGATTATTGAGTATATTAGGAGGCTCTGTAAAAAAAAATTAACTGAAAGATGCACATACATAAAAATTTGTAATAATGTACTGTAGCCTGGGAGTCAATCCTTCCTTCTACTTATTCTGAATATTATATCCTCTTTTCAATTTTTCATGCAATAAAATGCTAATTAATTGGCACAAATTAAAAAACATTCAGTAACTAAGGTTTTGTTCCCAAATGGATTAGCACTCTAAATTTCACTTCCAAAACAGAGACAGAAAATGGGAACCTAAGTCTCAGCAAGAGAGTAAGTAATATTATCTGATTTTGTACTTTATTTCAAATTAATATGTATCCAATACAAATGAATATTTTGATTTATCAGTCATCAGTTGTAAGATCAAAAAAATTGCCAAGGTAGTTTTGGAACCTATTTTCATTTTCACTATACTGTTCTTCCTGCTTGCATGCATTAAAAGACTTGTATATGAAAGGGAATTTGGTTTATAACCTATTGGTTAGTTTAGTTTTTCTAGTTGTAGACATCTATGTTCTTGAATAAGCCCTGAGGAAAAAAAAATATTTTGTAAACCAAGAAAAAAACCAGTATTTTATTAAAATAGACATATACATGCAGTTAAGATGTTTTAAGAAAAACCATGACACAAACTGTCTCAAATCAGCTTCTAAAGAAACCTGTTGGAAGAAAAACTTTGAGCTCTGACATTTTATGACTCCTCTTTTGCATATGGCCCCTAAAGCAGTATTTAAACTGCTAATGAAATCACCAATTTTAGTACAATAAAATGGAAGCAATAATTTCAGTTAGATAACTGATTTTAAACCCAGACTTTTGAAACAAGAAAAACTGTTCATACAATATACTAAATGATGTATCATGAATAATCATCTGTAAATTCTTCACAGGGGAAAACAGACAGTACACATGCGTGTCTTAGGAAAGAAATCTGCTTGAGGTACACGAAAGGAAAGTCAGAAGGTCTGTTGTTAAGCAGATCACCCATTCCAGATCTACTTATAACCTTACCTGGTATCAGAAAACCACAAGGCCCTGGAATCTCTAGAAGCAGGGCATGGGTGATAAAGAGGTAAAAGTAAAAGATTGAGAAGCTGTTAGAGGCCACATTAAGAAAAATGAAAGAAAAAAACCCACCCACGAATGTAGAAAAAATAACTGGAAGAAGAAAATATTAATAGATGATTCCTGCAGTGAAGGAATTCATAAAATTAGAGTAAGGTAAAGTGATTTTGTTGAGCTTTACAACTGAGATGAGATTTCATTGTAAAATGCCATTTTCGCTGGAAGTATTCATTATGTAGGCAAAATTCAAGCACCCAATTCACTATCAAATAAATCCATGGACAGTGATAAGAGGAAATTATTTATACACTACTCTTTTCCTGTAAATACATATACAGTAGTGGACCATCAACAGACTGAAAACAACCCTTTTATTCATAGGCAAAATTTTTGGTTCTAATAGGAATATAGCATCTTTCTGATTTCTATTATTCAGCAGTTCACTTTTAAGTGAAAGATAAAATTACTTATCTTTGAGCAACAGACTCAAAATGTCTTACGGGTCATCATGTCATTGAAAAGCTGCTTATCTGCAATCTGTAATTATGAGCATCTTCATAGGACAGTAGTAGAAAAATTATTTTTATTCAAAAGCAGCCATAACACCCTATCTCCACTCTTGGAAGTGAAACAAATACACAATTCTTACCCTGCATAATAATATAAAGGATCTTTTCTGATGGGCAAGAGGGAGTAAGATATAATTCCTGGATTGTCTAATAGAAACAAAATGATTGTAGGCAGAAGCGATACAGTTTGTGAAACTGACAAAGCTGGAAAATAACTGAACAGGTTCCTCATGTCCACGCAAAAATTCTTTCATTTGTGTCCCTACGAGAGTGTGCAATAAAAGCAATACTGTTCAGTGGATGCTGGTAAAGAAAACAATCAGATTGGGCAGCAAATGTCCTGTCTAAAATGAGGCTAAGAGGCTTGGCAACAGATGAGTGTCATATGCAACACTGCAGTGACCTCAGAGATGTGCTGCTGAAAAATATCAAGAAAGATTCAGAGGGAAAAAAAATTCACTGGCATCACAAGTAACAAGATGGCTTCCACTAGTATTTACATACATATATATATATATATATATAAAAAAAAGTTTTTTGACAAAAAGTCTAAAGAGAAAAGACTGAATAGATAAAATATTCAGTAAAGAACAACTTTGGATAAGACAGACTCTGACAAAGACCCACTGCTTTGCTTTTGTAAGAACAAAATGACAAAGAGATAAAGCTCACCTTTGAAAATACATTAAAAGATGAATAAGTCAAAACAGCTTGAAGATTACCTAGACACTAAGTTACTTCTACGACTAAAGATCATATTCATCTGATGCCTCAGAAATCATAATGAGCTTAGTAATGGCTTACAAATGTAAGAACACATTTTTTTTTTTTTTAATTGGAATTTCAATGTTTTTAAATCAGGACCATGAAAAATGAAGCTACAGTAGAAGCTTTATGTGTTTTCAAAATATTTAAGGGATAAATCAGTGGAATAGAGAAAGATTAGACAGCAAACCAAACAACTTCTTGCCTGATGTAAGTAAAAGGGTACCTTTGTAAAAAATAATAGTACAGTTCAGAAAAAGAACCTAGGAATTAGAAGACAATCATATAAATGTGATATAAATGCCAGCAACACTGGTACCAATTTGGAGTTGAATACCCTGAGACACCTGCCCATTTAACAACATTTTACATTGAGACTTCTATAGTAGCTATCACATTCCTTTATCTACCTTTTTCTTGGTTTGTTTTTAGTTTGGTTTGTGCTTTCTCCTGAAATAGCAGAGACATATTATACATTTAATTGCAGACTGCAAGGATTATGGATGTATTTACAGTTTTTATGGTGAACAGCCTGAAGGAAAAATGCTGAGAGAAGTGTAGATGTTTAAACTCTAGTCATGATGGAGGCAGTACAAAGTACCTGTGAAATCCTGTACTTTGATGTACTGTGTACATCATGAGGAATACTGAACTGCAGGTCCAAAGACTTTTTTCTCTATATTTGTTTTAAAAGAGATAGGAATTAAAATATTTAGAATAAATACACTTCATGAATAGAACCAATGGCTGTATCTTTAAATATGAGTAATAATGACAAGGATGAGTTAGGATACTATAATAAGTCTGTTTTGAGTACAGAAGACTCTTAATTCACTATTCACTTAATTCACAATTTGTAAAAACTAAACATTGACACTTCAAAAAGAAAAAAAAAACCAACAAAACAACAGTACCTTGGCAAGTAAATTTCTTAGAAGGAGTTGTGAGAAGAAGTTTATCTGCCATTTCTCCAGGACCAGCACAACGTGCAATACCAGGTTCTTTGTATTCTGATTTTACCCAGTCAGATAGCCACTGCATATTACAATCACAATAAAGAGGATTTGCTCCAATAGCCCTGTGGAAAAAAGACAAATAAAAAAGGGAATCAAGTTTTAAATGGCTACTTTTTAAAAAATAAGCCAGAAAATGGGTTGACAAAAATCATTCAAAATGCAAACCTGCTCTCTCACCACCAAAATACCTGTTAACAGCACTAAGTGTCCAGATTTGGGCTCTAGATCAAGAAGTGATAGTTTTGGTAGAAACATAGTCCAGAAATCTGTATCTTCTTAACAGCACTATGTGTGAACTTTGGTGATCTAATACCAGCTAGCTCTGTTTCACTGTTGGCTTGTAATGGCAAAGATCATCTGCATCAGCAGAGTGAAACTGGTACTGGGCAATTTAACAAGATAACAAGAATAAAGTATTTCCTCCGAAGCAGTCGGAGCAGCAATTCCACAGAACTCTGCCCTGATATTTCTCCTTTTCTGTTCATTGCTCCCAGGCTGGTACAAACCATCTGTTTCTAAGATTCCAAATTGGATTTAATTATTTCCTCTTTGGAGCTGTCTCACTGAACTCACAACTATGTACAGAATTCTCTAAGAGTTCTCTGCTGCATAAGTAAATAAAACTACATTATCCTATCTTTGCAGTAGTTACATAAGAATTGCTTCATTATGAAAGCAAATTCACTTCTTTAAATGATGATCCTTGTGATTTTTTTTTAATTAAAAAAAATTTAGCTAGAGATTTTCAGAATTAATTTCTGTAACAGCTTTTTAAGTGTTTATTTTCTCTGCTAGAAACTATAAATACTCTTAAAACTCTGAAAACAATAAGACATTGTTTAGCTAGTTTGGAGGATTAAAGCCTTGTGCTATTCCATAAAGATGTATTCATGTTCCTTTTAAGAAATACAGGAATCATGGAACTTTTAACAGATAATCTCAAAATGTGCAAACACTATCAAATGGGTGTATTAGAACAGCCTCCTTATCCTGATGTGTCAATACTTCCCACAGCTTTGAATCAGTGGGTCTTCTAAAGATACAAGAAAGTCTTTGGCAAGCAAAGGCAGTAGGAGCTACCAGAGCTGAAAAACTCTTTTCTGCCCCACTAAGCAGAAAGCCCTGTCATATTAACTTTTTAATACATCCAAGCTGTACTCAAGAAAATATACATATTTGTTCAGTCAGAGCAGTAAAAAAAAAGGAGACCTAGTGACAAGGGAACTTCCCAGGCAAGGAGAAACACCTAGAATTTGTCCATTCTGTATTTCCAAAAGTGTATGTCAGCCTGAACTAACACAGTTATTCTGCTAAAATCAGAATATTAACAATGATAACTGGTATCCATTAAGAAAAAAGTACCAGCAACAATCAAATTATCCAAGTTTTACTGACATTTCATGCAGATAAATTAATTTAATAGTAGCATTTCAATGAATTATCAATGACTGAAAGCTTAATCGGTATGAAATTTCTGAGGGCTAAATGTAAATGTCCAATATTGAATGAGAAACAGATAATTAAGTTTTTAACCACTGCTGATGTTCAGAAACTTAAAACCCCAGATATATCTAAAGGCACTGTCAACACACTCAAATTTTTAACAATTCATAAACATGAGTTTTGCAGAAGGTAGCTTGTTCTAATTTAGGTTCCAAATGAAAATTAAAAACTGGAAAACTATTGCCTCAAATTATGTTTGGAAATCAGATGTGATGTGTTTAGTGTCAACAAGATAGTGACACAGAATCATAGAATAATTTTCATCTATTCTCACCTCCTGCACAGAACAGGGCTACCTTGGCAGTCATGGTTGCTCAGGGTGTATCCAAGTGAGTTCTGAAAATGTCAAGGGACAGAGATTCTTCTGCTTCTTTGGGCAACCTGGCTGAATCATTGTCACAGTGAAGAATTTCTCATTACATTCAATCACATTTCTCTTGTAGCAGAGAAGGTTTTGATGCTTTGCTCTGATTCTTCACTGTGCACCTCTGAGTCTCCATCACTGCCATAATCCTTAGAGGCTTGAAGACTTTTCGGTCTCTCCTTGGCATCCCTTTCTCTGGGCTGGATAAGTCCAGTTCCTGTAGCTTCTCCTTTCAGCTCATACAATCTAGCCACCTCCCAACCTTGCCTGCCCTTGTGCTGGGTTTGCTGTAGTTCATAAACATCTGCTTTGTACTGGAGAAACTGGACACATATTCCAGATGTGGCCCTAGGAGGGCCAAGCAGAAAGGAGCAATCAGTATCCTCAATCCCCTGGCTGCTCACTTTCAAATTTAGCCCAGAGTGTGCTCAGCCTTCATTGCCATAAGGACACGGGGCAAACAAGTTCAGCTTGCAGCCCAAGCATCAGGACCAGGATTTTTCTGCTGAGCTGCTGCCAGCTCTCTGGCCAATGCCCAGCCTCTACACAAGCAAAAGTTTCTTCCAGAGATCTTCTCTGCATTATGTCTTTGTTTGGCTGTATGACACTTGCTAAGCATGACAAATAAAATATACAGTACACCAGCAGAATACTCACAGGTGTGATAATGCTGAAAGATCATTAAAGGCTCCTTCAGGAACAACAGAAATATCATTGCCATGTAAAGACCTTAAAGAGAAAAGAAGCATAATAATATCAATGCATAAAAAAATCATCAGGTTAACTTGGCAAATTTCATCTTCTTTCAACAGTTTTCAGCTTTTCAAATTTTTTTTTCTTCCAGTTTCTCAGTGTTTCCAACTGCTTGTGGTTTCATTTTTTTGGTAAGCTCTAACTGGCAGCCTACTTATCATTTGACTTTTTGCATCCTGAATTTTCATAAGAAATATAAATACTGTGATTATTTTAAAATTGAAAAATAAAAGTTGATAAAAGTAGGCACAGTTATGCAAAGTAATGACTGAAATGACTGGATAGAGATATTAAATATTATTATATTTAGAGATAGCAGATAGCAGAAGAGTTTCTGATTTTTCCAACAGCTCCCTGAAATTTGCATTAATTATGTTCATATGCTCTTTTTAATCTTTCATGGATTCATAGAACATACAGACATTGACTGTTAATATAATTATTAACATTTTTGTCTGAATTTGATGGTAGAAGTAGAAGATGAAAAACTTCATTAAGCATCACTACTGGGAATAGTGATATTTCTTTTGTAGAAAATGTACTGGTTTCACCAACCATATGAAGTTCAACAAGAGCAGGTACTGCATTCTGCATCTGGGATGAGACAGTCCTGCATGTAGGTTCAGAATGGGGAATGAGGTGCTGGAAAGCAGTGCCAGGAAAGGCACCTGGGGGTCCTGGTCCATGACAAGTTGCACATGAGCCAGCAGTGCCCTGGCAGCCAGGATGGCTGAGTGTGTCCTGGGGTGCACCAGGTCCAGCATGGCCAGCCGGGCAAGGGATGGGATTGTCCTGCTCTGCCCTGAGCTGGGGCAGCCTCACCTTGAATATTCAGTTTTGGGTGCCACAATATAAGACAAGAAGCTATTACAGAGTGTGCAAAGAAGACTAATGGCAGTGGTGAAGGGCCTTGAGAAGAAGCCATATGACGAGGGGCTGAGGTCACTTGGTCTGTTCAGCCTGGAGGAGAGGAAGCTGAGGGGAGACCTCATTGCAGTCTGTAACTTCCTCCTGAGGGGCAGGTATTGATCTCTGCTCTGTGGTGAACAGTGACAGGACCCAAGGGAATGGACTGAAGCTGAGTTAGGGGAGGTGTAGACAGATCATTAAGAAAAGGTTCCTCCCTCAGAGAAAGGTTGGGCTCCCCAGAGCAGTGGTCACAGCACCACATCTGACAGAGCTCAAGAAGCATTTGGACAATGCTCTCAGGCACATGGTGTGACTCTTGGGGATGATACTGTGCAGGAGCTGGACCCAATGATCCTTCTGGGTCCCTTTCAATTCAGCTCATTCTGTGATTCTGTGAAAAGTATTTCTCCTTTTCTATACATTCATTCAGTTACATAAATATCTAACACATATACAAATATAGCTCTTGAAATTCTTATTGAAATCTTATTTATATTGAATAACTGAATTTATGAAAGCACACCTAAATAATGCCTTGCTTTAGGTATTTATTCCAACCAAGTACCTAAATGGTTATAAATCACCCACATGGAGGCAAAAATTACATGTTCTGATATGGACTTTTGAAAAGGAATATTTGCAGGTTTTTTCTTAATGACAAACTGAAGCTGTAAATGAGACTGACTATTCTTTATTTTCCTTTGTCCATTTTTTTGCCCTGTCAACCATGTCTTTCCTAGTGGTAAAATGGAAAGTTTTCTTGCAAGCAAAAAGTAAAGTTATTGGTTTTCAATACTTAGTCATGATGGCTTTGGAAATACTCCCACATTAAATAAAACAACACAAAGAAATTTACTGTTGGAATAAAAATATTCAAAATTCAACTGCAAACTCTCCTGATATATACTGAAGGAATTCATGCATATGGCATTTTTGCTTAAATGCTTATAACAAGTAAAAACATAGCACAAAAAAAAAAATAAATACAGGTGACATTGAAAATCAGAAAAGTAAAAAGTGCACATCTTAGATTTTTAAGGCTGCATAATTATAATTTCTGAAATATTTGATAGGGTTTAAAATCTGCTAACTTCCTATGGTTCTGCTGTCTTCTGTACACAGATAAAAATTATGGAAAATAGCAATGATTGAAAAATAATACTTACAGCAACCTTAGTGATTTCAACCCATCAAAAGTCCGTGCAGGAATACATCTTAGGCGGTTGTAACTAAGAATTCTGAAAATATATAAAATGCTGTCAGCAAATGTAGCAGTTATTCAGTAAACTATGCAGAGCATGGCCAAAATCAGTTTTTGCACACATAGCTAGTTAGGAAACAAGTTATTTTACAGCCTCCAAACCAAGCAAGTTTTAATATCAACTAAATGCCCTTTCTCTCCAAGACAAAAAAACCCATTGTAATGCTTCCAAAGAGTCACTGTTACATGTTTAAACTTACAAGGTGAGCAGCTGAGTCATGTTGCTGAAGCTCTGATTAGAAAGAGTGCTGATTCTGTTGTTACTTAAATCTCTAAAAAATAAATTCAGAAATTCAGACCTTAAAATGACTGCCCCAGTCCCAAAACACTGCAAGTTAAACTGACAGACACATTTTCATTAGTAGTAGTATTATCATTGATATAACTATTTAAAGCAGCACCTGTTTATATTTTCACATGCCATATACAAGCCCAGCAAGTGTTTAGCTTGATCAATAAAAAGCACTCTCATTTCAATACAGATGAAAAAGCAGTGCAATGCATTCTAATACAATAGCAACGTTCATCATGCTACCATGTTAATAATGAAATTCTTCATAAACTCAAGCACAAAAATGAAAGTAATGATTTAAAGTGGAAGTTATTCCAGTCATGTCCCTAATGACACCTAAGTAAATATCATTTAATACCCTACTTAACACTGACATGATGAAGACATCAAAGCCCAGAGATATTATTATAAAGAACTTAGATTTACAGAAAAAGCATTAATGTCTTCTTTGTTCAAAATTCTAATGAATAAAATCAGAAAGATAATAAGGAAGATGTAGTGGTGTACTGGTTCCTTCAAAGATGCTGCATTAAATGTGAATACTGTCTGTTCTTTATTTTCATATTGTGCTTTACTATTAGTTTTATTATTTATATTTTCATTATTTGACTATTTCAGTATTGTTTTATGTGTTTTGTGGTGAAATGTTGCCTTTGTTTCTGAGGGAATCATCATATATTAACTTGTGAGCAGTACTGAATAGCTATTCAATATACATATTTACCCACTTGAAATTTTCATGAAAGCATGTAAGATGACTGACTCATAATAAACATATTAAACAAGTATAACAGAGAAATAAATGCAAAAGAGAAAGAAAAAGATGAAAATAAACGCCTTTCTTTGTTAATGTGGAACTCAGGAGACTTGTATATAATTCTTTGATGACAGGACTATGTGCAGTGGTTTCTTCTTCTAAACTCAGCTGAGGAACATTCTCAACTACACAACAGCAGTATGAGTAAATGTACAGAAGAGTTTAAAATAATGTGTCCTGCAAGTCTCATAAAATGTGACTGTCAATACTCATTTGCATTCTATTTACTATTCATTTATTCATAACTTCCCTAAACTATTCACAAAGATTTCCTACAAGTTGTACACAGGATAGACTTAAAAATATTGCAAGGGATTTTTTTCCTGATATTACTTGAAAAATACAAAATGTTTTGAAAGTATGGGTTTTAAAGAAAAATTTCACTATGACTTCCTTTGTCTAACATGAGGTAAATAAAGGAAATTATGTTCTTGTTTTTGAATTGCTCTAAACCCCGTGAAAAATGAAATTTAAGGGATTCTGTTACTCCCCTCCACTTTTCATTCTGATTATAATGAAACCACAAACTGCTTTCAGAATGTAACACAGTTCAGCCTCAGCTGGTATAAATTTTTATAGTCCTAACAAAGACCATGGAAATTACAGCTGGAATTACAGGCATTTACATTCACAGTCTTCCTGTTTTTCTCACTGTACACTTAGAAGGTACAGAAATCATATTCAAACAATCCATGAGGTAGAGGTAATAAATTTTAGATTTCCCTGAAATCACATAGTGAGTCAGCAGTAGAGTTGGCAGCAAGGCATTTTAGACAAGCTTTCTCCTTGGGTCATGAAAATCGTATACTGTGGGAGAAAAAATTACCCTGACTTCTTAAGATCTTACGTCTCTTTTGAGGTCAACTATGATTTTTATGTTGTTATTTTGTGATGTAATCACTGAAATAAAATACTCATGCTCATAAAATGTGACCGAGCATATTATATGTAAGATGTGATAAACAGAATAAAATAACCTCAGTTATAAAATATGGTTGGGTATTTGCTGAAAGATATGATACATTTTTCAGGCTTTTTCTTAGAAAAAAGTTCAGGTAGTACTACTACTACTACTGCTACTACTGCTACTGCTACTACTACTACTACTACTACTACTACTACTACTAGAGTAAGGTATTTTTTTCTGCTTTCAATTCCAGTAGAGAACGTTGCTTTAAAACTACTTACATGAGTGTCAAATGCTTGTAGTTGGAAAGCTCTTTCGGAACAAGGGTAAACTGATTTCCATCCAAATAACTAAACCAGAAAAATAAAACAAAAAGCATTATGTATTTCATTAAAATAGGAGCATCTTCATCCACTGTTCTCAGAATGCAACAGTAAAGTTAATAGCAAATGACTACACACTATTCCATTTTATAAGAAAACTTGCTTACAAATTTTGGTTTTTAGAGATACAACTGAGGATTTGTAGCCCAAGATCCAAATGCTACTGTATTATATATAATGCATATTATGAAGTAACACAATAAAAAACATCTCTTGCATTATAGTTTCTATTATTTCATAATGACTTTGCAAAATCAGACCTTTATCATCTCCATTTCCCACACACCTACAGAGGAAAGGTAAATCTGACTTCCACAAATCACATTAAGTGTGGATTTTTAGCTTTCATAAAAAGAAACAGACTCTGGCATTGCAGATGTAGTCCTTTACACTACAAACACTGAGGTCTGGTTTTAGCTCCAACAGGAAATTAATTTGTCATGCCTGTGTTTCAGGTCACATTCCTTAATTTATCCCTGTAAATTTCATGATACATCAGTATACCATGCTACAATCCTATTCCTGTGAAGTATGCTAGTGACTGAAGACAGTAATCAATTACCCTTCACTAGAAAAGTTAGATTTTTTTTTCCCCCCTTTCAGTAGGTTCACAGCTCCTGTATTACATTGCTCGCTCTTCTTCCATGCTCATAATTCTCAGCAAGAGATCTTCTCATCCCCAGAGTTAATGGGTACAGAGCTATCAAACTGTACCGGCACCGGCGTTACAGGCAGACGAAGGTAACAAGCCTTGCCTAAAAAGCTTCCAGTGTGCAGCCAGACATAACAAAGTACAAGTGGAGGGGTTCTTCATGTAACCAGGGCAAGTAGCTTAGAGATTATAAGAAGTGCTGAATTTACCTGATGGTTTGAAATGAAGCAGATAGTGGCAAGAAGATTAAAGGTCTTTATTTCTCAGCGGGGGAAAAGGACTTTGCTCATGGTGGTATTACTTATGTTTCCTGGAACCCAAGTGGAAACTACACCCTCATTATTCCTACACAAAGAAGATATTTTTGCCATCCAAACACTTGCAACATGCTTGAGCTAAGAGCAGTCTTTGATAGAGACATTTTTAGTCTTATTTTGAGATTAATGTCTTTATGTAAGCTGTAGCATCTAGTCTTGACTAAATGGATGAGCTGAAACAGTTAAACTTCACAAAAAACCTACCTACAGCTAAGCAAAAGGCTATCTTTCTTAGTGTTTTTTTAATTTGGACTATGACTTTTTAATTAATTTATTTAATATTATAATATTATATATATATAATATATATAATATATATAATATATATATTATAATATTATAATATTATATAATTAATTTAATTAATTTAATTAATTTGGACTATGACTTTTAATTTGGACTATGACTTTTATTTGGCAGTGCCGCTTGCCAAATCCAAAATGTGTCTCAACACGCTTTATACTTACACTATGTTAATGGTGGTGAATAGAGCATGGGCTCATGTAATTCATTATTATAAAAACCAAAAAAACAAAAAACCAAAAACTTTTAAAATTTTTGAAGAAGTATTCTGAGGAAATTCTTTTATCAACAGATACATTAGGTTATTCTATTAAGCTTCATTAGAACTGAAGTACTACAAGTATCCACTTGTCTGATAAAATATCCTCCTTGCTCAAATGAAGTAACTATTAAGATATTTTATAAAACATATGAAGTGTACATTTTAGAAGAGCCATGCATGCTAATAAGCAAGAAGAATCAATCAGTATGCAACTGTTAAGAGGAGCCACGTCCATTATTCTTTTGAAAAATATGCTAAATTGCATGCTTAGACACTAAAGAATATAAAATTGTACACAAATAAATTTTCAGTCATGGGGTTCCATTTGCAATTCCAAAAGTAGCTCTCTTTAGCTGCTTTGTTTTATATTGCATTGATGACCTTATATTGACAAATTGTATTTATACCAGACTGTATTCAAGAAAGTCATCTTCTCTTTGAGGAAAAAAACCTAACTCACCACACAACTCAAAACCTAGGTTTTATGTACCTGTGTGCTAATTTGAAGTCTTAATAATTTCAATTTATCAATGGCTAAAAACTTTTAGATGCACCAGCTAATGGTGGACATCTCAGAATCATCTATATAATGTCAAACCATAAAACAGTAAAAATTTTAGTTACTTACAAAACGTAGTTATGATGTTTTCTGGAAAAAAACATCACCATGATGACCAGCCATTATGAAACATTATTAAATATTTTCAAAATGTTAAACAAACCTACATTTTTTTCCTGTAAAAAATTTTTATTTCTTTCAATATTGTGACCTATCTGATCAAGAATCAAAACAAATATCTCAATTTTTAGTTTCATATTTTCCCTTTCATAATGCATAAAAATTTTCTCATAAAATCTTACGAGTAGTTTATTCAGTTAATATCTTCAAATAATACATGAGGTTGCAAGATCATTATTTGTATCTAGGTTGCTGTCCAACTGAATATTCAAATATTGTCTTTCATAAAATGCAATCTTAATGATTTTTCTCATAGAAAAAATGTTTCAATAGATTCATAAAACAGCCCAGATTTTATAAAACTGACTATGTGAAAAAGAAGACATTCTATTAAATCCTGTATTTTTGCAATATCACAAAACTATCAAAATCTCTGCATCATTGAATATCCTGAGTAGGAAGGATCACACAATCATTAGGATTGCAAATGACCTCTGGAGATCATCAAGTCCAACCCCCCTGCCAAGGCAGGGTTACCTAGAACAGTTCACACAGGAACACATCCAGGTGGGTTTTGAAAGTCTGCAGAGAAGAAGACCCCACAACCTCCCTGGGCAGCCTTTTCCAGTGCTCTGCTACTCTCAATGTAAAGAAATTCTTCCTCATGTTGAGGTGCAGCTTCTTGTGGCTTAGCTTATTGCCATTAGTCCTTGTCCTGTTGCTGGGCACCATGGAAAAGAGTCTGGCACCATCCTGCTGACACCAGCCTTTGAGATATTTGTATGTATTGACGGGATCCCCTCTCAGTCCTGTGCAGATTAACCAGGCCCAGCTCTCACAGTCCCTCCTCACAGGAGAGATTCTCAGCCCCTAGTCACCTTTTTTTGCCTCCACTGGACCCTCTCCAGTAACTCCTTGTCTTTCTTGAACTGTTGAGACCAGAATTGAACACAATACTCCAGAAGAGGCCTCACGAGGGTTGAACAGTGAAGGAGGATCATTCCCAATGCACCCCAGGATGGAATCCAACTCCTGGCCCTGCTCAGGACAGCCCCTAGAGTAACACCATGTGCCTGAGAGCATTGCCCAAACACCTCTCGGTGCTTGGTAAGTAACCACTTCCCTGGGGAGCCTGTTTCAGTGTCTGATCACCCTCTGAAAAAGAACCATTCTTTCGCCATGATTTTACTTCACACTGAAGTGAAAGTGACTGGTTTCCAGGTAGTTACCAGGGTCAACCCTCTTGTCCTCCTCAAAAATGGGACATTTTCCAGGTTCCTGTTGACTGGGACCTCTCCAGATTACCAAGAATGGACAGGAATCATTGAGAGAGGCCTTGGAATGGCATCAGCCATCTCTTTGGGTATTTTTGGATGAATTTTATCAGGCCTCATAGACTTAGAGAAAGCCATCAGGAGCAAGTCTGGGGTTAGCTGGAAGTTAATAATTCTCACAGTCATGGCCCTCCAGCTCAGGGCATTGGGACCCTCAGAGCTGACCACTGGTATTGAAGTGAAGAAGCATTAAACATCCCTGCTTTGTCTATGTCCCTGTTTGTGAGATGACCATATTCATTGAAAAATGGACCAGTGTTATCTCTGGGCTGCATTTTGCTATTAAGAAAATTTAAAATCTCTTTCTATTTTCCCCAGCAGTACTGGCCAGCCTCAGCTCTAATTGGGCTAATTTTCTTCCTACAGTGATGAGCAGCACCTCTATATTCTTCCCATGTCACTCAACCTTGTTTCCACTGGATGTACACTTTTCATTTTTGCCTTAGTTCCAGAAGACACCTGCCTAGCAGAGCTGGCCTTCTGCCTCACCTGCTTGGCTTCTGACATTTTTGAATATCTTGCTCTTTAGCTCTTAACAGGTGGTACTTAAAAAGTGATCAGCACTGATGCACCTAAGTACCTTCCAAAGCATTTCCCATGGAGGTCTTACTAGTTCTGTGAGCAGCCTGAAGTCTGCTCTCATATCCAGAGTTGAAGTTTTGCTGGCACTTTTCCTCCTGTCAGTAGAGATTTTAAACTCGACTGCTTTATGACCACTGTGGCCAAGACAGACACCAGGTGCTACTTTACTCACAAGACCCTCTTATTAACATGCAACAAATCCAGGAGAGCAGCTTTCCTAGTTCACTCCCTTAGTACCAGAAAGCCATTGTCCGGGTTTTTAACTCAACACAGATGAAGGCCATTGATTTAGAGGATTAAGGTGCTTGATTTACGGGTAAAAAGTATTGATTTAGAGGCATAAAAAACGTGTTCATTATGAAAACATATTTATATTATTGCTTTCCTTTTGGTTCTTCATGTAA